TCTCCACGCTCTTGCCGGGACTTGTCATCATCCATCTTTTTTACTTTAGCCATCCTAGTGGATGTGAAGTGATACCTTGCACATCAGCTTTTTCTATGTCACACTTCAAAGCCCAGCTCAAATATGACCACTGACCACTGTGGAACTTCCTAACATGCTCCTGGACAGTTTTAGTTACTCACTTCTCCACAGTACCATCATTTACCTATTAGTGCCAATTCATTCAAGAACTACTGAGCACCTAGTACTTGCCAAGCACCATTCTAGGTGAAGATAATAGTGTATGAAACAGACACACAGAAATCCGTCTGTCTTATGGGGCTTATAGTCTGGTGGAGAGAGGCAAACAATAAAAAGTTTGTGAAATGGTGGTAAGTGGTATGGGGTCAAGCAAAGCACAGCAGGGCAACAGAACATGCCAATGGTATGGGGGTGGCAATTCTAAAGTGAAGGTCATGGAAGGTCTCACTGAAATTACAGTTGAGCAGGAATTGAAATTGTTTGAACTATGGGACATCCATCAGAGATGTCAAGTAGGCTTTGGATAATGGGTCTGGAGTCCAGAGAATAAGAGTCCAGGCAGATAGAGCAGTAGTGGAGATAATGAAGAACCAGAACTTCAAATTGAGGTATTGCTGCTAAACTAGGTGAAAACTCGAGCAGAGGTCTGTCCTAGAAGGCAAAAATCTGTGTTCGTTTTCTATTGCAGCTGTAACAAATTAACACAAACTTGTGGCTTAAAACACAAATTTATCATCCTACAGTTCTACACAAGTCCCACATGGGACTAAAATCAAGGTGTTGGTACGCTGAGTTCCTTTTTGGGAGACGCTAGGAGAGAATGTTTCCTTGATCTTTCCAGGTTCTATAGGCCCCCTTCCTGATCTTCCAAGCCAGCAACATTCCATCTCTCTAACCATTCTTCCTTAGTCCCATCTCCTGATCTCAGCCAAGAAAGATCCTCTGCTTCTAAGGACTCATGCAACTAAACTAGACCCATCTAGATAATCTGAGATAATCTCCCCAACTCAAGATCCTTAATCACAGCCATGAAGTCTCTTTTACCAGGTAGCGGATTTACAGGTTCCAGGGATTTCAAGTATGGACATGGGGTGGGGGTTGGGGTACTATTCCTCCTACACAGTAAATGAGGAAAGCATTTTTTTAAAGATTTTATTTATTTGTCAGAGAGAGCATGAGCAGGGGGAGCGGCAGGCAGAGGGAGAAGCAGGCTCCCCGCTGAGCAGGGAGCCTGATGCGGGACTTGATCCCAGGACCCTGAGATCAGGACCTGAGCTGAAGGCAGATGCTTAACCGACTGAGCCACCCAGGCGTCCCGAGGAAAGCATTTCAAAAAGGAGTGATCAACCATGTTATATGCTAACATGTCGGAAAAAAAAAAGTTAGGGATAAAGAATTGACCACTGGATTAAGTACCATAGAGGTTCTAGTAATCTTTACATGGGCAGTTTCAATGGAATTAAAATCCTCATTGGAGTGGGTTCAAGGCAACAGTGTGCAGTTGGAGAACTCTTTTGAGTTTTGCTATAAAGAGCAAAGGGGATGAGTGTGGGCCAAACAGGATTTTTTTTTTTTAACATGGAAGAAGTAATAGTATGTGGTAGGCTGATGGGAATGATCCAGCAGAGTGAAGTTAACGAACAAAACGTCTAAATCTGTGCCCTCGGAATGGGGATGGGATCTAGTACACGACTAGAAGAGCCTGCCTTATGAAGGGCATGGACAATCTGTGTGCCTGGAGGAAAGACAGAGCATACAAGCAGAGATGCAGGTAGTAAGCAGATGTGATGGCAGGAACCTGTGGAAATTTCCTTGTTTCTATTTTCTAAGTTTGGGCGGGGGGAAGGCCGTAAACTGAGAGAATGGGAAAAGTATTAAAATCTAAGTGTTTTCAAGGAGAGTCGAAGAGTAAATGAAATAAAGAAATGTAGCAGGACTGTCAGATGGTACTAAGGTCTATTTGAGGTCATGACTTGAAACACAGAGACAGAGTCGGCATGTTCAGTTGCACAGGTGCAGAGAAGGTGGCAGACTGAACTTAACCAAAAATGCAGTTTAGCCAGGCAAGCGTAACGAAGCAAGAGATGGGGCAGGGCAATTTGCTGTGTAGCCAAGAGTGAATTTAACAACAGTCCACTGAATCTAAGGTAGGTAATGACCGGGAGGTGGGAAATTTAAACTAGAGAAGAAGATCAATGAACTCTAAGTCACACATGTATTGTATCCGCTTACTCTGTTCTTAACATCTACAGCTCTAACTCCTCTTCCAGACTAAGATCCTCCGAAGTGGGAAGTGTCTTCTCTTCTCATTCTTAGTACCTTAGCAGATAAGCTTGTTTTCTGAATGGATGGATGGACGCTTACCCTTGGTCTAAGGGAAATTCCCCACCCCCAGTCCTATGATATATAAAGTTCCTCCTTTCTCACTGTTCTCTAAGAGTTTGAGTAAAAAGTTACAACGCTTCATCAAAATCTATGGTATAAACAAATCCCTTGGAAAGAGACGAGATGCCTAATTCCTACAGTGTTGTGTCCAAGAACTAAACCACAAAATGTACCAGATGTATCCCAACTCCAGTTAAGTTTACCCTTATTGAACACCTGGGTGGCATGAAATCTTTGAACTTCCCAACCTCTAATTATTTCACCTCCTTGCAGTAATTAACAGATCAGGCCTTGAGAATACCAAGTTTTCTAAGGAGACATAAATGAAATTCAACCTGGGGTGGAGAACGATACACAGACAAAGAGCATGTAAAATAAGTTTTATTGTTCTTTAAAAGGGTTCAGGGTTTGGTTTTAAATCAGGCTGCACACCTTTCATCAGTCTGACATCTCTCTCACCATGTCAAACTGGCTTCAGCTAGCAATACTTCATTAAATCCAAAAGAAAAAAAACTTTTAATTTTGAGGAAGAAAATCCAGTTCTGAGAACAATTAACATTAGTATGTAATTTAAAACAAAATGAGGGATAACGTTTCGTGTCGCTTTATACACCCTTCTCCTCATACGGAACCAGGAATGTAATTTCCCTATCTCAGGCAGGCACTGATACTGCACACACATACACACACATACACACACACTCCCCACAAACAAAAATCAGAGCATGTCAAAGGGAAAAAGTTTGTTACTGTATTGATCAAAATCCTTGAAGTCAATAGACAGTCTGAGTTTAGAGGGTATGCTGTTTCGATCTTGAACCTATGTTAAAGGAATCTATTGTCATGTTCTGAAAGAATTTTGGAGAGTACCATCATTTTTCACTTTAAAATTCTAGAAACAGTTTCAAAAAGCATTATTTTGTTTTGTTTTCTGGGATGGGAGAGGAGAGAATCTACAGATATTTATTTAGTTAAAAATCAAAACAACTCCGGCATAGGAAATAGGCAGTTCACACAGCCAGCCAACGTCTGAGGTATCATCAGTGTGAGACAAGGTCCCAGTCCATTCCTACTGGCCTAGCTGATCCTAAAAAAATGGGAAGTTTATGACTCTGCATAGCAAATCCCAGCAAGACAAGATGACCCTAAGCCTTTATTCAAATCCTTAGAAGCAGAGCACTATTAATATTTAGATGTAGAGTGCAAGAGCCCCTGATGGTCTCCTTCAACTTGGTTTGTCAATGCAGCCCGGTCACAACTGCCTTCTGCGAAGGAGCAGAACAGCTTCTCTAGATCAGCACATTGAACCTGGCAGAGAATCCGCAAAAGTAACAGTACACCATTTCATTAACAACAGTCTCTTTGCTACTCATTGGGTTGCTTTATGTCTCTCTTCTACCCTGTATGGCCTGTGGACACATACTCACTAGGCATTGTTGGTTTAGAACCAGCAATTTTTTTTTTTTTAATCTCATAAAGAACCTAGTAAGAAAATAACAAGGCAATCAGTGGTTAAACTGAACTGTACATAATGCGGCAGTTTGGAAAATACAAATCACAGGCATTTCTCAAGTCCAAAATATCCTATCTTTGCTGTTATTCCTTTCACCGTTCCTGAAAATTCATAGTACAAGTCCTAAATAAAAATTTTAAACTACCAGCATTCTCTGACATCATCAGACAGAAAATCAGAGTAATGCTACAAACCCACAATTCTAGAAAGTGTAGAAAGTGTGCTAACTCTCTGCCTGGACACTTCTTTAGTGATGGCCTGGAGTGCTCCCCTTCAGAAAACAGAAGTTTCTGGGATACCCACTTAGCTTCATTGGTTGGAAAAGAGAATTCGACTCTCAGCTAAGTTCTTTGAGAAGAAAGACTATTCTTAAAATGCCATTTCCCCACTAATTTACCGAAATAAAAACCAAAACAAAAGGCTCTTGGCTACTTTGCCTAATGCTGAATAGGGTTTTCAAGAAGAAACTAACATGAACACCCCATCATCAGTAAAGACTAAAAACCACCTGGATCATATAATATATATGCCACTGCTTTTTTTTTTTTTTTTTTGGTGTTTTTTGTTTTTTTTGTTTTGTTGTTTTTTCTAAAAGTGCCCAGGTGGGCTTAAGGCTGCCAGACTGCACACACACCTACAGCAACAAGAGCTTCTCCTATTCCATCTACAACATGTATTAGGGGAAAAAAGAGGGAAGGGGGAAAGAAGAGCAGAGGGGGAGAATATCACCCACCACCACTGAAAGAAAGAAAAGAAAAGAAAAAGAAATGAAAAGAAAAAAGAAAACAAAGGAAAGGAAAAGACAAAAGAAAACAAAGGAAAGGAAAGGAAAAGAAAAGAAAAATCCCACAACAGGGAGATCTATGTGCCAAGCATAATGGAAGAGTGTGCTCCCCAAACAGATGGTTCTGCACAGGCTAATGTTCTGCTGGTTTTCCTCAGAGACCTATTTTGAAAAGTTAAAAAAGACAGGAGATTTTGATATAATTCAATCCTGGCAGAAATTCAAACTCCAACAATTAGGAGCAAAATCATCCTTCACTGAATTAATCCCTTTTTTCTTTCTCTTTTTCTTTTCTTAAACATTTTATTCATGTTATAGAGGGATTTCTTTTTTGTTTGCTTTTTTCCAATCATTAGGAAAGTGGTTGAGGAGTACTGAATCCATCACTACTTTGGTGACACAGTTAAAGATTCCAGATTCACATTTCCAGGTACCAAGAGTTCCCTCTAAATGTACAATCAAGTCAGCCTTCGTTTACACTTCTTTCTACTGAACACAGCAGTGCCCATTGGTGTCTCTGACGCGCAATCGCATCTTAGGTCGGTATTTCTCCAGGTAAAGCAGCTGTTTGGAATTGAATGCTCCCCTTCTTTTTCTGAAAATACAAGAATGACAAACTTGATCATGTAAAAAAAGAGCTGTCTCACTGAAATGCATTATTTATGGCCTAAGGCATTTCTAACTCTACACAGCTGAAAAAGAGCATTATTTCCTATACCGTATCACTTAAGAGAAAGGGCTGATGGGTGAGCAAGCAGTGTGTGAAGCAGTAGGCACAGATGGCATTCCTTGAACTATGTCACCTTCCTAGAGCTGCTACCATACATTTCATGCCCTTATCAGTCTTTTTTTTTTTCTTAAAGAAAAGGTTGAAAGGGAAAGGACAAGATAGTGACTGCCAAAGAATTCTGGACAACAAAATAACATGGCCCATTATTCCAGACTGATGCCAAGGTTGTCTGAGCAATACCATCCTGATTTTGTGCCTGAACAGGTCACTTAAGAGGCACAGGTGATTAACTCCTTCTCTATGGATTCTTCCTTGCCTCTTGGTCATAGCTGCATTTGGAAGGTATTTTAGATATCCATTAAAAGAGTCACTAGATCACTTAGACTACTACCTAGCTATTCATTTTAAAGATTCCTAGATACTCAAGTCATATATACTGGACATATTCTACAGTGTCCAAATGTGCCAGCTAAATTAGCAAATCTTTAAATCTGGGAGCCAACAGTACTATTACAAGTCTCTCCACCACTCGTTCCTTTTGATTTCTTCAATCAATCTTTCAAGCCAACAAATTATTCCATACTACAAAGGGTACTTTCCATCATTCCTTCTTCTTATATGGTCTTGCTTTATGTGTTTCTGAACATAAAACTTCATACTCACTGTCTTATAAACTGAACTGCATCTTCATACTTCATTCCACATTCAATCAAAGCAAGTGCAACCAGCACAGGTGCCCTACAGAGAGAAACTCATGTGTAAATACCCACAAGTCTTTGGAATTAAAGGATTTTTTTTTTTTTAAGATTTTGCTTATTTATTTGAGAGACAGAGTGAGGGAGAGAGGGGTGAGGGGGAAGCAGACTCCCCGCTCAGCAGGGAGGCCGATGCGGGGCTCAATCCCAGAACTCGGGGATTATGACCTGAGCCGAAGGCAGACGCCTAACCGACTGAGCCACCCAGGCGCCCTGAAAGACTTTTTTTAAAAGCCAGGATTACTTATTACCAAAGCAATGCAAAGCTTGAGCTTTCCTTTCTTCCCTTATATTAAAATATCTGTTTTCCCTATACAGTAAAAATGTCTGTATCATGATAGTGTCTATGGTGTCATCCACTTTTAGTAAAGCACTAAATTCTACATCTTCATTAAGAGATCTTTATTCTTGGGGCACCTGGGTGGCTCAGACAGTCAAGTGTCCGACTCTTGATTTCGGCTCACATCATGATCTCAGCGTTGTGAGATCAAGCCCTGTGTGGGGCTCCATACTGCATGAAGCCTGCTTAAGATTCCCTCTCCCTATCCTTCTGCCCCTCCCTGCTCCCCTGCGGGCATGCACTCACTCTCTAAAAAAAAAAGATCTTTATTCTTTAAAACATCACATTATTATCTCAAATTTACACATTATATGTCATTAAAAATTCATCGGTCTTTAACCATCATCACACAGTAAGGGGAAAAAAAATGACCAAATGTGTCATCTATATTGAGTATCTCAGAAATTTCATTACAAATCCATTTTAATATCTTTTCCTCATCAAATACTAAAAAGGGGCTAGATTTCTTCAACAAAATCCTTTCTGTGAGCTAGGAGAGTGTCAGAGAATTGGTCATTAGGAACAGTTCTCTATGTAAGTATGTGGGTTTTGTTTTGTTTTGTTTTTACATCTAACAAGGGACACTGAGGCCTGAGCAGGTCTCAACCTGTCTGTGGTTTGGGAATACTATATGCTTCATAAAGCAAAGTAGAGGGTTTGTCTTCTGGGAAGACAAAGCTGTCTTCTCCTCTGAAAAAGTCTCCAACATAGTTGGATTTGGCATCTTCTAGGAATAGGAAGGCAGGAATTGAGGCCTCATGAGTCTGGGTTTACAGCTGAGGTAGAGAGAGAAGACAGTGGTTATAACCAGAAAGTCCAGGTGAGCTGTAGTTACCTCCAGGACTCGTCACTATTAACACCCACTCTGGGTTTCAGGACAGCCACAGAAATAGATTCCTTAACAATAAAATAACAGTAATACACACATAGACAAAAATCTAGCAAGGGAAATGATGTTTTAAAATGTCCACTACATGGCACCAACTTTGGACTACCTGCTAAGATAGCTACCAGTTACCAAACTGTCCAAGTCAAGTTAGAACACTACCTTCACCCTTCAGAATCAGGACTGGAACTTCTGACCCTGAAGAAGAAACTGTACCATACTAAACTGCACAAAAAGGAAAAGAGCAAACAAAAGGGCTGAGCAGGGGTAATAACCTGAGTCACCACCACCTTGAGGCAACAGCAGCCTGCACTAATGTTCTGAGTCAAAGTGCACATCATAAACTGGCATTTAATCTGCTCTTGATGAGAGTGTTGCAACACCATTCCATGCAATGCTCAAGGAAAAAGGTTTTAAAATCAAAGTTACTTTTCATTCTCCATACATCTCCTTTCAGAAGTTTAAAGTTCAGCCATCTGCTCTGCACCTATTAACTTCCCATTCATCTCAATCCAAAATTAACCACATATAGATTCTTCAGAATCTAAAATTATTTTAATTTTGTTGCCCATTTCAAAGACCTAAGCCTCTGAATATGTGAAATAATAAGGATAAAAATTCATACTGAATTAACCAATTTTTAGCTCAAATATAAGATAATTACATTAAATCAGTTTCAAAACAATTTCTGAGCCATCATCCACTAAATCTATTATGGGCATCAGAATCAGACAACCCACGAAACACAAAAAGCTGTCTTAAGAAACCATTACACCAGCTTCTGCTCTCATTTTCTTTTCCTTCAGGCAATTTAATATTTGGTGTAATAAATACAAACTTCTACCAAAGTTAAATTTTTGATAATGAATTCTGGGACAAAAAGGTAAGAGCTTACCTTCCCAATCCTGCAACACAATGCACTGCAACACAGCAACCTGGCTCTTCACGAAATTTGGTTTTTAACAGGTTTAGCCAATCGTCTACTATCTGATTAGGGGGTGGTGCTCCATCATCAAATGGCCAATCCTGGAAAGAAAAGATCTTTTACATTAAATTGTTATTTTCTGCAGGATAGTATCTAATGCAGAATAGCTGCATAGAACACAGGGTGGATCTAACTTAACTAACTGTATTCTTTTTTTATAGGGGGTGGGTACAGAGAGGGAGGGAGAGAGAGAGAGACAATCTTAAGCAGACTCCACGCCCAGCACCTAGCCCAATGCAGGGCTCAATCTCACAACCCTGAGATCATGACCTGAGCCAAAATCAAGAGTTGGACACTTAACCGACTGAACCATCCAGGTGTCCCTACATATCTATTCTTTTTTT